AGTTTGAGAAAGCCTGAGCTCAAATGATTAGTAAAGGGGACCTACAGAGTCATGACTGGTTGAAAGAATTTTATGTGGTCAATAACATATAATAAAATTTATTTTAACCTTGGCAATCTTTCAACACAGTGCAATGAGTCCACTAACAATGCGTGTCATATAATTTTCAAGCAAACAAGCTCTATAACTTAATATTTTCTAGGCTTAGAGAAGCTAATAATGACCTGACGTTAGAATGAATATGATGAAGATTTCAGATGCATCCAGTCTGACATAGTACATTTAATTAAAAGTAGTCCAATACTGAAGCAAGCTACCAAATTTTATTCAAGAAAATTATATTCATTTTTTGAGGAGTAGTTCTTACAGGGTATGGGTGGAATATGCATAGATCATGCTTCAAGTGACTCATCCACCTTTTTAGGGAAAAGCATGGATAAAAGTTAATAGTCGCACCATTGGATTGTTCATTTTAATTCAATGAAGGGTACCATTGAATGCATCCTCATTATTGTGTTCTCATTGCATGAGAGTTATCAGGCAGTTAGATCTAGTTAGAATTCATTCACAGTACCACTTGCTTTGATGGTCATCTAGAGCCATGAAATATATTTATTCTGGACAGATGATCACATATATGATAAAGAAGGTAAGCTAATCTCAAGAGGGCGGTATTTGTATGATATTTATAAATCATTTTAGCTGATTTGCATATCAAATTAATTCTTGAGCACCGGGGAATGGGGATGCATAATATTATATATTGGCAACAATGATCAAGATGGCTGAAAATGTTGACTTCATCCTAGATGGAAATAAAATAGACATATATTTGTTGGCAACACAATAGGTTTTGGGCATAAGAAAGTGAAAGACCCACTGAAGTGAAGGCGTAAAGACATTTCTAATGCAAGATTGAAGAGTCGTTAGGAGAAGAGGAGTACTAAGAAAATGAAACCTACACACCATCCCCTCATAGTCATGTGACTTTCACAAACATACCAGAATGCTTGATAGATGAGTTCATTCTTTATCGACCAACCAGCCAGCCATCAATTGAGTATATATACAGAATGGTTATGGGAATTATTGACACAAAGAAATATGAGTGATGACTAATATTTCCATTTCCAAATTTTTCTTGCACTTTGTATTGTTTGATTCATTATGTACATATTATAAATGCATGCATCACATTTGGGATGTTATGTTTCATTATAAATTTCTATGAATCGTTGTAAATTTTCATGAATTATTACGTCCCAGTATCACTCGGTATCGCTCGGTACCACTCAGTACCGCTCAGTACAGATTGGTACTGATCGCTACAACTATATTGCAGGAGGCACTGCTCGGTATCCCTCAGTACCACTTAGTACCGATCTGTATCGCTGATTTTTCCTCAGCACTGCTTGGTACCAATGGGTTTCGATAATGTTCCTTTAAAATATTCCATCAATAATGGTGGCCAGATGGGTAAGGTGAGCTATTTAAGAAGGGTTGGTGTAATATTTAAGTTATTCATATCAAAGTTCTTCTTTTTAAAATGTGCGTAAGTTGAAGAAGTATTTGTGTTATATTTGCCACAAATTCATGTTCTATAATCCTTTTAATTGTTCTCACCACTTTCGAGTTGCAGAAGTTAAATAGGCATTTATGCTTCCAAGGAGGAATGGTATTTACTCTTCCATGAATCAAAAAGGCATTTACGTTAACCAATTTCTGATTGACAATTTCTCTTCCTTAGTGCGAAAGGAATTTGAAGATTGAATGACTTAGACTTGGACGCACAAATGCCTTTTAGATTTATGGAATGTAAATACCTTTCATCTTTCAATAGTGGTTTCATGTACTGTAGCTTAGTGCCTCGTCTGTTTTGTTAAATCATTAAAAAATTGCATTGTAAACCATTTTTAACTTTATTTTGATAATCAATATAAAATCTCCTTATGTTTGTTTGTTGTGAAACCATTAATCTACGCTACAGCTAACATGTTTTTAGAGTAAACCATAGGTTCTTTTAGAAAAAAATAAATTATAATTAAATTTTGATATTTACGATAATGGTCTACAAACTACATTTGCAGGATACTAATCTGCATCTTGTTATGCCGACCAAAGTATTCTTCAACATTGCAACTAGTGCGATGCATGAACATATATCAAAATCTTCTGATGGTCCACTTGAGCAACTAGCAAGGGAAAATCAAGTTTACAGATGTTGTGTACACAGCTGGAACGAGCATTGTGATTGTGTACTCCAAATTTTGTATTGAGAGGCTATCGCTATCATACACAACAGAATAGGTAATTTCCTAAATGTTAATGACTAAAAATGTATGGAGAATAAGTTCTATGAGAAATATCACCGCATAGCTAGTCCTCACTTTTGTGTTATTCCTTTCACCAGTGGTAAATGGGCTATGCACCAATTTCCTCTTACAATTTTTCCATTGGTGTACACGTTTTGCTATGCCAATACTAGCAGCCGAAGACTCGATGTCTTCTGCAATTTTGGTGTTACTTAATAATTTTTTAGGTGAAATAGTTAAATCAGTTGTTGTAGAAGTTTTTCCCACATCAACTTTGACAAGCGGAACTTGAACTTCTTCTTGTTGTGGGGCTTCCTCGGCAGTCTCGACATATGACTGGCTTGCAATATCATCGGCTATTATTATTCTTGAGGAAGATTCCATAGTCACTCATGTCAGATTAACTTTAAAAGAAGTTCGAAAGTTTTCTTCTAGAAATTTTTGTATTATTTCTTCATATCTCATATCCTTCTGCTTAAGTTCGAAAACTAACTATTCCAATGCTTGTACGCGCCTCTCAAGTAGGGTAGATGTCAATTCAACATTTATGAGTTGACTGATGAGAATTTTATTTTGTGCAATTACTTTGTGCATGACTTCGTCATGGGAGTGGCGATTAGCATCATCAGGAACAATGGTGGGCGTAGGTACTTCCTGGGGTGGTGGGCTACATGTTTAGGGGGGATGGATGGAGTGGAAGCCCAGGGTGACCCAGGGGAGGTTGTAGGCCTAGGGAGTTTAATTCGAAGTTTCTTGAGAGGTTCATTTGAAGTTTTTTCTGAAGAATGAGGGGGAGAATTTTGTAAAAGTGTTCTCTCCTCATTAGTTACTTCTTTAAATTTGTTGATTACCTACAAAATATTATTTGTCATAAGGAGCTCATATCCAAATAAATAACACAACAAGTATAATGAATATCTATATATCGTCAAGATTATTTAATAACATGATTACTTCTTTCTTGTTGTACATGATATGGCTATCCCAACGAACAAAATGAGGCCGGGAATGCTCATCCAATGGTGCATGTATTTGTATCCTCTAAAAACCAAATTTACAAGTATAATAAGCAATCTTTTAGGCAACTAAATACATTTCTAGGATCCCAAAATTATTTAATACACATAATAATTAAACTCAAAATTAAAATTATTACAAATCCATTAATATATCCGAGGGGACTGCCTTTCGAATGCTTCATGGCAATAACATCGAATTGCACCACTAGGAAAATCCTGATGGATGCTGGCTAATTGTAAGTTAAGAATTGATCCACATGCTCAACAACACTTAAGATCCTTGCAGGTTTTCTGAAGTTCTCCAGTGGAAAAAAAATATTTAACATTAAGAATATTGTGAATTTTTACTTAAGATCATTAATTGGGATAGACTCATTCAGACTTTCAATCTCATGTCTAATATCATTGGATGTTTTCCCACTTATTCTGTCACTATCTGGGACAAATTCGGCACCCCTATTGGGTAATCCAATGATAAGAGCAACCTTAACATCAATAAAAAGTGAACAATGTGCAGGTGCCTCAAACCATCAACGAATTGTTTGTCAAATGTACTAACCAAATGATCACAAACTTGTCTAAATGTCGAATCTCTGCAACGAAAATGAATCTTTGGAGAATATCATCGCAAAAATATTAATCATAATAAGTTGAAAGAGCAAAATGGAACATGGTACCGAGCTACCGAGCATGGTACCGAGCAATACCGAGCATGGTACCGAGAATAAGGAGCATGCAATTGAGCATGGTATCGAGCTTGGTCTAGAGCGATAACAAGCATTATACCCAGCGATACCGAATATGGTACCGACATGTACTGAGCGGTACCAAGCGATACTTACATCACTATTTATCGGTCCAAATATATTTCAAACTTTCATATGTACAATATTTAAGTTAGGTAAGTTCATAATATATCATAGTTTTATTGGTACGATCTATACCGAGCATGATACCAAGTAAGGTACCACGAAATATCAAACATATTACCATGCTTGGTACGGAATTACTATAGGCTGCTGCTTAGTATAGAACAGTGCCGAGTTAAAAATCCTATTGCAACAAACATTATGTTATATCAATAGTTCCATTGTGTGAGAAAAACGATTTGTAGAGAAAAAATCCTAAATCCTTTAAACATTTGTAGAGAAAAATACAACAAACACTTGACACTATAAAAAAGTACTTTAACGCATGAAAATACCTTAGGCATGACTTCCTACAATGAAATTGATGAGCAAACGAAGGAGCTTCGATCGCCGAAGATGAACAGATCCTGCGACAAGGAAGACTGAACAGCCTCCAATTGAATTTGCGACAATGCCCGCAGTTTATTTTTCAGTAAAAAGTGACTATTCACGTCCGGATCCCGGATGGGTCTTCGGGCCACACGATAAATGAAAAGGACGTGCTAAATTTTAACTTTATTATAAGTTTGATTGTCGAATCATCATAGCACAACATGACATCTTTCTATTAATGTTTGAACCTAGAGCTAGGTCCGATATCCACAACTAATAATTTCCCCAAGTCCCCGATCCATTTACTTTCCTAAATGCCAAGTAGATGTTGAGCTGTCCGACCACCCTTAGATATTTAAGGACGAAGTAGAATCTCCCATCCGGGGTTGTTTTAACAACAATCCCCAAACTTTTCACTCTTCTCTTCTTCTAAACTTCACGCCTTGGGCCGACGAAGCGACCTTCTCTTTCCAGAGATAAGCGAGATCGCCGAGAGAGAGAGAAGCAAGGCGCGGACATCGAATGTTGCAGGAGGTGAAGAGGTCGGGCCTTCCGACCACGAGATCTGCCGCAGGATCACGTAGACGGCAGATCCAGAAGACGTTCAACAACATCAAAATCACGATCCTATGCGGCTTCGTCACTATACTTGTCCTCCGCGGCACCATCGGGGTTGGAAACCTTGGCGGAGTATCTGACGCTGACTCCGACCAGAGGGTCGTCGAGGACATCGAGCGCATCCTCCTCGAGATCCGCTCCGATTCCGAACCTGATGAGGTTGGTGCTGCTCAATTCTCCATTGCCGCAGTTGTCAACATCACAACCGTCGACAACATCACTCTGGCTGGAGCTGATGCAGCGGCCTATGCCGCGGGTAAGAGCTACAAGCTAGGCCCTAAGGTCTCTGATTGGGATCAGCAGCGAGAGCAGTGGTTGACCGCGAATCCTGGATTTCCTAGTCGAATAGCAGGCGGGAAGCCGAAGATTTTGCTTGTTACGGGGTCACCGCCCAATCCTTGTGATAACCCTCTCGGTGACCATTATCTTCTCAAGGCCACCAAGAACAAGATCGACTATTGCCGTATTCACGGGATTGAGATCATCCACAACATGGCTCACCTCGATCGGGAGTTGGCTGGTTATTGGGCCAAGCTCCCCCTGATCCGTCGCTTGATGCTTTCTCACCCGGAGGTTGAGTGGATCTGGTGGATGGACAGTGACGCGCTTTTCACCGACATGGCCTTCGAGATCCCGGTAAACAAATACGAGGGCTATAATCTCGTCATCCACGGCTACCCCGACCTTCTTTTTGACCAGCATTCTTGGATCGCCCTTAATACAGGGAGTTTCCTTTTCCGGAATTGCCAATGGTCGCTAGATTTGCTAGACACTTGGGCGCCTATGGGCCCGAAGGGACCAGTTAGGGATGAGGCTGGTCGGATTCTTACTGCCAGTTTAAAAGGGCGGCCAGCATTCGAGGCTGATGACCAATCGGCGCTCATCTATCTTCTTCTTTCTCAGCAGGATACATGGGGGGCTAAAGTTTTCATAGAAAATTCTTACTACTTACATGGATTCTGGGCTGGGCTGGTTGATAAGTATGAGGAGATGATGGAAAAGCATCATCCTGGTTTGGGTGATGAAAGATGGCCTTTTGTGACCCATTTTGTAGGATGCAAGCCCTGTGGTAGCTATGGGGATTATCCAGTTGAGAGATGCATCAGCAGCATGGAAAGGGCATTCAATTTCGCTGATAATCAGGTACTCAAGATATATGGTTTTGCACATAAAGCGCTGTCAAGTCCGAAGATTAAGAGGATCAGGAACGAGACATCTACTCCTTTGGAGGCTAAGGAAAGCCTTAACCTCCAGGATAAGATAAAAACTGGATGAGCTGGAGAGGATGGTTTGAAGTTCAATTTCATTGCCATTGGAGGTCAGTTCCATGGTTTTGTTGTGTGATATGAGGATTTACTTGTTGGAATTTGTAATTTAAGTTTCAGGACTTCACCTTTTTTTTTTTTCTTTTGATAGCATTCAGTGTTATGTTTTTTTTATTTTAGTTAGTTAATTACCATGAAAATTTAATGGGAAAGGTGGAAATTTTTATGCTATCCTTGCATGTTCATTTTAAATTTTTGATTTCTGCTAGGATGAACTTTTGATATGTGGGGCGTCCCACCATTGGCGTGCACTCACCTTGAAATTTAATTTACTATCATTATCATTGTGATCACACTTAGTATTGTTGGGGACAGCTTTATGAGTCATTTGTCATTCATTTCTATTAAGTGTTGCATTTATTGCTATTCATGAACCAGCTTAATATGAAACGTATAAATGTATAACTTTTTTTGTTCTTCTTTTTGGAAGTTATTTGAAGATATCTCAATTCTCCATACTTGCAAACAATCAAATGAGTTTTATAAAATTTATGATGAGATTATCAAGGTGTATAATTTTTATGCTTTTTGTTTGTATAATTTATGAATCCTTTGCCGTTCATTTCTATTAAGTGTTGCATTTAGTGCTAGTCATGAATCAATTATTATGTAATAAATAAATGTATTATTTTTTTGTTCTTCTTTTTGGAAATTAAATGATGATATCCCAATTCTCTATGCTTGCAACAATCAAATGAGTTTTATAAAACTTTAGATGAGATTGTCATGGTGTATAATCTAAAATTTTATTTTTTGTTATTTAATCTGGTGTATGATGCTATACAATACATGTTTCAAAATTATTTTATCAATTGCTAGAATTTTCTAGTATTTTTAGATTAAATTTTCATTCATTTTAGAGGCTGTTTGGCTTGCTAAAAAAGTAATGTAGAGTAAAAGGAGATGCAGTGTAAAAGTAATACAATATATTTAAAATATTTTGAATTGTTTGGATGAGTATGAAATAAATACAAATGATAATTTTTTTTTTATTTGACTTAAATTAAAATGAATGAAATGTAAAGTCCAATGCCAATGCTAGTGGATGGCTGACAACAAGCGGTGAGAATGGCAAGTGCAGTGGTGGGAAGTGACCTACAATGGCGGTGTACGGCGGCGGCGGCAATGAGAGATTTACAATGAATTTCAAAATCGGGCCAAATCTATTGATTTTCAATTCACAAAAATTGAATTAGAGGATAAATTCTAAATGCTTTGAAATTTTATTTTATAATTGAATATAGGCTGGTAGTGGAGACAATGGAAGAGAATTTACAGTGTTTGAAAATTGACCAAATTTAATGATTTTTAAATACACCAAAATTGAACTAGAGGGTGAATTCCAAGCACATCAAAATTTTAGACTGCATTTCTTTTACTTCAAACCAAATACTTGCATTTGAAATATTTTACATGCCTTTTATTTCAAATCAAACATCCCCAATTTTTTTGTTTATTTGTTAGAATTTTCTTTATTTTGAATTAGATGATATGTTTTTAGTGATTTGTTTGCATTGAAGTTTTAAATTTTGTTTTAATTTTAAATTATTTCTATAAATAGTTGTTTTATTACTTGCAAATTGGAATTTGATTGATCCAATTAGTAGTGAAATTTGGAAAGACTACTCTCCTTATTCTCTCTCTCCCCTCTTTCTCTCTCTCCCTCCTCTCTCTCTCTCTCTCTCTCTCTCTCTTGTATGGTTTATACTCTCTCCTCCCCCAACTTGCAAAATCAAGAATGCATCCTCCGCTAATCTTTTTCCTGCCATAAAATTGAGATTATCGAGGCTTCTTTATCTCTCTCATCAATTCGTTAGAAGCTATTTACATTTTCTTAAAGAATTTGATATGACCTCTCTCAAAACTGCCCTCTTAATTTTAACGGCCAATTCAAAGATGGAAGAAATCAAACTATGGAAGATCATCAGCTAGATCCTTGTAATCATATTTGTAACAAGCATCAATTGTTATGAAAGCTGAATTCTCTTAAGCTAGCTACCCATTATCTATTTCACACCAACACTAATTTCCATAAAAGAGAAAAAATTGCACTGAATATCATTTAGTCATATGAATTTCTTCTCCTATTGCCATGAAATCCATTAAGTTATGAAAATGTATCTATGTAAGATGCATATTTCATGCTCAGGTGATGCATCAAAAACATATAAGCTCACCTATGCAGCTTAAAAAATCTCTTTTTTCTCTTTGGAACTGATGCTAGAAATTTATTAGTATGTTTTATCTAGCGCATAAGCATCTAAGTTGAGAACATTTTATGGGCATTGCTTAGATGAGAGTCAAATATATTTTCTACGTTATTACAAGTCTCAAACATTATATATTAATCTGATTTAAGGATAAGCATATCATATGATGATGACTTAAAATATTGCCTCAAGATATTAAATGGAAAAAATGTAGAATCAAACAATAATTATGCATCTCTCATGGTTACATGTATGATCATAATCTCGATCTTATTAATAGGATAACTACAACGACTCATCTTATATTGAGCCTTATAATTATAATGAGTTGTGTTACAACCAGACTATCATTCTTTTCATCAATAATCTCATATATATTATCAATCATATTCAAGGCATACCAATGTTGATGCCTATGATCATTTTCAATATTTATATGATTATTGGGTGTCTCATGAAGAGTATGAATATTATCATTAGCATTGATCTTAAGATGGTTATAATCATTCAGTTCTTCCCCATCCAAAATCTTTTATTTTTTATTTTTATTTTTACTTTTATTTGCTATTTTTCATTAACCCATCCAAAATCTTCTTATTGTGATTGCATGTTTGTCAAGGTTTTGCATCTGCCACTTCCATTAGTTTTGAAACAATTCCTCATGCTGAGTTGACCTATGAAGTTTACTATCGCATAAGTTTGATGATGATGATCTATCATTTATAATTGTGGCATTTATTTAGCCTAATCTTGTGGTTGTGCAATTGATTGTACTTGAGCTTAAATCTAAGATTATATCCTAGTTTAGTGATGAAACTTATATTGAGATGAAGAAAGAGATTGATCCATATATTTTAAAATTCTTTTACTATTCTTTTTCATTTATATGAGGTTGTTTTTTATGTTTCAAAAATAGTATCTCGTTGCTCACCAAATCACAGGCTGTGATCATGTTATTATTGTTGCCAATGTCATGTGATTATGGGATCTTTTATTGTGACATCTAAAATGAAGCCTCCATATTCTATTTATTGTGTTCAATTTGTATACACAAAAGACTTAAGAGATGTTCATGAAGTGGTTTATATCTCCAACATCATAAAAACTAAATTTCCAGGAAAGCGCTTTTTTAATCCTCTAGGAGAATATCTACTTATGTCACAAGATTTTTGATGCAATAAAAGGCATGCATCAAAATTATTCTAGTCTTTTCTGTTTGGTTGGAGGGGTTTTGAGTTGGCTGTATTCCAAATGTATGGGTAATTTTAGGCGTTTGATTGTATGAAAAACAAATAGAAAGTATTTTTTTGAGATGAAATCCTTGCTTTAGTTCACTTTTTATGTATTACAAATTTTCCCAATTTAGGTGAATTCAAGATAGATGATGTAAATACTTTCTTGTGCATCCGGTGCGATAGAGTTGCTTTCCTTCTCTTGTCCTCACAGGCATAGACGCTCCCATCTTATCATAATAGGGATACTCTCCCTTGCACAAAGACCTTGCTTTGTTCCCGCAAATCATCAATCACTCTTTATTGTGCCCACCAATTGCTCCTTGTGTGCCCTTCTTCCTTTGCCTGACTCCACTAGCTTCAACAATTCCTGTTCGCCTGGCTTATGTATTTAATAGTGATATACATATATTATTTTTCTTTCGATTGAACACAAAGATTATATCCAAAATTTGTTTTACTATCAACCAAACAATAGTGAGTATTAGTGTATTACTAATACACTATATTTGCTTCACACTTTATTTAAATACACTTGAATTCTAAATACTTGCAACCAAACACCCCCCTAGATATTTCTAAATTAATTTTAGGATTTAATTTTATTTTTTATATTTAATTGTTAGCTTTTAATGATTTATATAATATATTATATACTTGTATAAGTTATTCAAGCAAAGAGATAGGTGTAATATGGATTTATGTTCACGTGAAGTGTATTAAGGATGAAGATCAAAAAGTGATTTTATTAGAAGAGGTTATTCAACAAAGGTGGATGAGATATTTTGCTAAACTTTTCAATGAAGATTGTGAGAATATGATTGACTTTAGTGACCTTAGTACCCTAAATGAAAATAAAGTTTTTTTATTTCTATCGGCCTATTAGTAAAACCAAAGTTCGAGAGGCTTTAAAGAAAATAAAGTGTGAAAAAGCTGTTGGATTTGATCCAAATAGAGGTGTGAAACTGCTTAGGAGATGAAGGAATTTCTTGGCTTATTAAACTTTTTAATATTATTTTGAAGACTAAAAAAATTTCAGATGAATGGAGAATGAGTGTGTGGATTCATATTTTTAAGAATAAAGGTGATGCACAAGATTGTGTGAATTATAGAGTAATTAAGTTGATGTGTCATACTTTAAAACTATAGGAGAGAGTTATTGAGCATAAGTTATGACGTGATACTAATGTTTCTCAAAATTAATTTGGATTCATGCCGGGTAGGTTTACTATAGAAGCTATACATTTATTGAGATGTTTGATGGAGAATTATAGAGAGAATAAGGAGGATCTATATATGATATTTATTGATTTAGAGAAAACATTTGATAAAGTTCTAAGAGAAGTGCTATGGAGAGTTCTAGAAAAGAAACAGGTTAATAATGCTTATATGCAAGTCATTAAGGATATGTATGGAGGAGTTATTACTTGTTTTCAAACACAAGGTGGTTTGACCTAGTATTTTTCTATTTCAGTCAACCTTTTAAAAGGCGAAATCGGGAATCGAGGCGTTTTTGCTAAGCGAGGCGAGGCGTAAGCCTCGAGGCGTAAGCCAAAAAAATGATAAAAATAAAGTAATTAACAATGTCGAGCATGTACCGCTCGGTATCGAGCATGTACCGCTCGGTACCGAGCGTGTACCGCTTGAT